ACTTCTTATCTGCAAAGAATGCTTTCAAATCAGAACCATTTGTTGTCAACTCCACTCTCTCTCTCTCTCTCACACACACACACACGTGTGCCGCGAGACTGCCCCCGCAGGAAGTGGTGGGTGGATGCAGCACTAGACGGAGCTGATAGTGAAGTGTGCGTGGGCACGCTGGTGAAAACATTGATCCAGAGCATCTTTAGGACAAACGTACACCTCCTAAACAACAGTTATATTTATATTCCCATACTGCAAACACACACACAGAGAGAGACCATCAGACATTCAGCACATCGTACCTTTTTACATTCTGTAGAAAATATGAATGGTGTTTGCCTGTGCAATCTCACGGCAACATAGGGTTTTGCGAATGGTTGTCAGGGTGTTGCTACATGGATTTTAGGGTGTTCTGGATGGTTGTCAGGGCGTTGCTATGTGCTCCATATGGTGTTCTGGATGGTTGTCAGGGCGTTGCTATGTGGTCCATAGGGTGTTCCTGGATAGTTGTCAGGGCGTTGCTACAGTATGTGGTCCATAGGGTGTTTTGGATGGTTGTCAGGGCGTTGCTATGTGGTCCATAGGGTGTTCTGGATGGTTGTCAGGGCGTTGCTTGTGGTCCATAGGGTGTTCAGGATGGTTATCGGGGCGTTGCTATGTGGTCCATAGGGTGTTCTGGATGGTTGTCAGGGCGTTGCTTGTGGTCCATAGGGTGTTCCTGGATGGTTGTCAGGGCGTTGCTATGTGGTCCATAGGGTGTTCAGGATGGTTATCGGGGCGTTGCTATGTGGTCCATAGGGTGTTCTGGATGGTTGTCAGGGCGTTGCTTGTGGTCCATAGGGTGTTCCTGGATGGTTGTCAGGGCGTTGCTATGTGGTCGATAGGGTGTTCTGGATGGTTGTCAGGGCGTTGCTATGTGGTGCATAGAGTGTTACGGATGGTTGTCAGGGTGTTGCTATGTGATCCATAGGGTGTTTTGGATGGTTATCAGGGCGTTGCTACATGGATTTTAGGGTGTTCTGGATGGTTGTCAGGGCGTTGCTATGTGGTAGATAGGGTGTTCTGGTTGGTTGTCAGGGCGTTGCAATGTGGTCCATAGGGTGTTCCGGATGGTTGTCAGGACGTTGCTATGTGGTCCATAGGGTGTTTTGGATGGTTGTCAGGACGTTGCTATGTGGTCCATAGGGTGTTCTGGATGGTTGTCAGGGCGTTGCTATGTGGTCCATAGGGTGTTTTGGATGGTTGTCAGGGCGTTGCTACATGGATTTTAGGGTGATCTGAACGGTTGTCAGGGCGTTGCTATGTGGTCCATAGGGTGTTCTGGATGGTTGTCAGGGCGTTGCTATGTGGTCCATAGGGTGTTCTGGATGGTTGTCAGGGCGTTCTGAGTAGTTGTCATAGTTTTGAAATGTGGTTGCTTGGCCTGAATGTTCTAGATGGTTGTCATTGGGTTGCTATTGGGTTCTAAATAGTTGCCAGGGCGTTGCTATGCTGGTTACTAAAGTGTTCTAGATGGTTGCCTAAGCAGTTGCTGGAGTTTTCTGGGTGGCTAATATGCATTTGCAAACAAACAAGAAAATTGCTGACTGCACACTGAATTCAGTGAAGACTAAAAAAAAAAGTAATTAAAACAATTATAAACTGCGTGGTGCAAAAAGTGCAAATTAATTAAAAGCAAGACGTTTCAGCACATTGCTTTCTTCAGTGCTCACATTACAACAAACACTTTAGATCACCAATTAGGGATAATCACCTGGAATAAATTGCTAATTGCACCCTAGTTTATAAAACACAATTATTATTATTATTGCTAGACCTTTTTTTTTTTTTTTTTTTTTTAGTCCGGACTGAATTCAGTTGGAATCAGCAATTTTGTTATTTGTTTGCAATGCCTTTCTCGATACACACCTTCTTCTTTTTTTTACATCTGAAGCTAAACAATTTTTTCTAGTTTGGCTAATAATGGATAAAAGTTGAGTTACTCCTGCAGTCCATGCTGGGACCTTTCACACTCTCTCAATGAATGTTCCCGCTGGATCCAGCTGGGTGAGGTGATTCATCCGCGCAGTCTCTCTCTCACACACACCTTATTCACAGGCTTAATTATTCATCAACCGCTGATCTACCTGGGACTAACACTTGTTGTATTCAATAATTAATGAACACTAATGCTAAACAGACTAACAAAGGGACTTGAGAGAATCCACACGGAAGAAGCGTTTCCCGTCGCACTCAGAGGTGGGAGTCACTTTTACGCATTGCGCATCTTTTTTTACACACACAGGCCGATCTTTAAACTCACTCCGTTTTGCTGTGGATTCGCTCGAGAGAGATTGAAGACAAACCAAAATGAGCTGCACGTCTCATATTGATTCTGCAATGTTAACAGCTGTTTTTGATAAATAAATCACGCCACTGGAAATAGGAAGGTTCGGCGGCCGAGTTTATGCCTTTGCGCAAAATTGCATGCTCCTATTTTTTTTCTACCTCCCATAAAGAGGAAATGAAACGAACCAAGTGCATCACAAACCTGACACCACAACACCCAAAACAGAGCACTGCATTTCAATAAAGAGTGGATGAACAACACTGATCACACAAACACAATACTGGCCACTCATTTCCAAACCATTTACTGCACCAAAACATTGACAAATTGGACATCTACATTAGGAATATTTACCTGAGATTCAGCCAAGCAAACAAACACATTTAGGTCAATTACATATATACTTTTTTTAGGGCTGTCAAACGATTAATCGCGATTAATCGCATCCAAAATAAAAGTTTGTGTTTACATATATGTGGGTGCACTGTGTATAATTATATATATATATATATATATATAAATACAAACAAAAGCATGTATATTTAAGAAAAAAAATATTATTTCTATATAAAATATTTATATTTATATATAATATAAATTATATATAAATCTATATACAGTATACATGAAAATATTTCTTAAATATATACAAGCGTGTGTATTATAAATATAAAATAATTATACACAGTGGAGTGCATCCACATATATAATCTAAACACAAACTTTTATTTTGGATGTGATTAATCACGATTAATCGTTTGACAACCCTACTTTTTATATATATACATTTAAATAGTGAAAAATAGTCAGAAAATGTCACATTAATAGAAATATAATGGGTTGAGAAAGACATTTCATAGTGAATTTAGACCCACCACGACACAAAACAAGAGCATGTACGATCTCAAAGTTAACAAATGTACATCCACAATTGCTGAGTCTCAGAATGTTTTGAGAATTGAAAAAGACATATACCAATTTAATATAATTACAAACATGTGTCCAAAGTTTTTTTTTTTTTTTTTTCACATTTCAGATGCAGAAGTTAAAGCTCGAGAATCTGCTTAAAACAGGGAAACACGAGTGTGAACTGACAATGACATGAAGCTTCCCTGACTCTAAAATTAGGCCATTTACCATCAAGCCATTATTTCAACATTTTTCACCATATAACCATAACAGCTGAAAATGCTCAGGTTAAACGTTAACAGTCATATCTTTGCTTGATAGATATTATGGTCCTTTTAGAATATTTAAAAATCCTGGTGTTTATATTTTAATTAGCCCTCATTTCAACTTTTTCCCATTACATTCCTCAAATGTAAAACAGATCTGATAATCAGCCTTGAAAATATGATATTCATCAAAACACACCAAAAGTAAAACCAACATAAGTTCAGTATTGCGAAATAACATTCCCATTTTAACAGTATTTATGAGAAATAATAATGATAAAAAACTAAAACAGAAACTAAAATGCCTAAAAATATAACAACACGCCAAAAGAAACAAAACCCTGATTAGAGAATGACTCACAATAAAAAATAAAAGATATATGCTAACCTGTTTTCTTCAGCTGACATGTTTGAATCTGTGACACTTCTCTGAAGTGAGCTTTCATTTCCTCATTGTGTCAGGATAATATATTGCATCCAGAGCTGTGTGTGTGTGTGTGTGTGTGTCTGTTTACAGCCGTCTGTCTGAAAGCAGAATAGCTGTTCCCTGTCACCTCCTATAACATCAGATTCCTTTATTGCACTTAAGTGGACAGTCCATGCAAACACACAACACACACACACACACACACACACACACGTCACCATTCAAAGACTCTCTCTATTTCTCCAGACTTGTAGATTAAGAACGTATTTTCTGACAAAACTATCACAAAATACACATATTTTTAACCATTTCTCATTACTGTAATATGTCTGAAAGTTTTTGAGTTTTGAATTTATTGTTGTTTTTTTTGTAATTAATTAGCATAATCATACATGACATTCTCTTTAGATAGTTATTTTTAGAGTAACGTAATATTAAGGTAGAAATGAAATGAAATTTTTGAAATTTGAAGCGGATCAAAACTTCTGATCAAAGTTACACATGAATTTTGAACAATACCCGTTCTCGTCTTAGGACACTTTTTTGATCCACTTCAAATGTTGACTCCTGTATAAATTGTTTTTACATTTCGGTGAAGAGAATTTGGGATAGAAATGCTTCTGTTTGTCACAATTAATGTACGGGCTTTATTTTCTTTAGGTTGTTTTAACCCACAATTGAGAAAAATATGGAAAAACCCAAATGTTGGGTTAAAAATATCCTTTAACATTTGAACCCGACTTCAACTTTCACTTTCAACAGTACATTTTTTAATTTCATTTTTGACCCAAATTTGGGTTGAAATAACCCAGCATTTTTTAAAAAGGGTACAAGACATCATTTCTTATTTCTTTTTTTCTTGAGATGAAATGGCCTAGAATTGACAGATTTTCTCAAATTCACCAAACTTGAGAAAGCGTAAAACAGAAGTGTGCATTTCTTCATCCTCTAAGAAGAGTCTTGCTTGCCCAGCTAAAGCAACCACACCCTGCACTCCACAAAATAGGAGGCACTTGTGTAAATGTGACCGTGCGCACACACACAAAAACACACATTAAGCACACACACACACAAGTTGGGTTTCCAGGTTTTATGGGGACTTGATTTTCATACACAAACACACACACAGAGGAGTCACATGGTGTCCATGTGGAGTGGACGGGGAATCCCTGTCAGGGCAGGCCGAGCCGTTCCTGACCAAACAAACAGATGATGTCATCATCAGTGCCGGAGCTCGGCGTGGGCGATCCTGTTCTATCCTGCCTCACACAATCCCACACAATCCCTCCTTTATGAGCGTCCCTCTTGGACTTCTCCTCTTTTGCTTTCTCTTTCTTTCTCTCTCGGGCAGGTTTAACCCTCTAAGCCCCGGGCTGATCCGACTGGAAACACGATTCTACAGGATAAACCGAGCACAAATCCCACAATAAAGTCCAGCTCCCATTTTAATCAAAATCTAAATAAATAAATATTATTTGCATAGCTAAGCATATTACAAATACTTTAATCTTTTTTTTGTATATTTGTATTTATATTTCCATGACAATTGAGCAAAAAAATTGTGTAACACTTTTCAAGAAGGCATTAGTTAATTGATTATTCATCTAATAATGAGCACAAAATATTAACAGACACAACTTTTGAAGTGTTTTCAAATTTAATGTTAAACATTTCATTTTTTGTAATCGCCATTATTCTCAATAGAATATCTTAAATAGAGTAATACAATGATTTATATATTCAATCAGCATACATTTAACCCTAAAACTGTAGTCTGGACAAATGTGGGCAAAATAGTTTTGATTTATTTTTTTAAAAATACTTCCCTTGATCTGAGCGGTACAAGACTTGGCTACTTTTTCTAAGTTTGCCTCCTGAACACACACAATTATTTTTATTTATTTTTTGACTCAATTCTACAATGTTAAGTGGGTGAAAAAAAACTCTTCTATTTGGGTCAAAAATGGGCACCCATAGAAATGAATGGGAAAAACTGTAATTTAGAGCATTCTAAAATAAGCCAAAATAAGACACCAGGTGACGGCAAAGTCACTTCATCTTTAGGTTTTAGCTCTTATTGGAATGATATTTTAATGCAGTTAAAAAAATAATAATAATAAAACATAAAAACAAGCATAATTTACATAGAAAATATGGTACTTTTTGAAGTAAATAAATTCAAAAATACCCCCAAAATAAAAAAAACCACCATAAATGGACAGACAAAACTTTATCGAAGACAGTGATATAACATTTATAAGAAATAAAAATTAAGATCACACCTGAGTCTATACACACTATAAAGTGAATACGGTTTGAGGGCTACAAAAAAAAGTTATAAAAAAAAAGAATGTAAAATAGGCTTCATTTAATCAAAGTAAATATAATATCTCACTTCTGTTTTTTGATTTGGCTCAGACATGTCTTTTCTTCAAAGAAAAGAAAGAAAAACAGTCTGTGATAGACAGAAACAGCCTCTCCTCTTCACAGTCTTTCCTGGCTGGTTTTCCTCACTGCAAAAACTTCACGACGGTTGTGTCACTTCTAATCAGAGCTCGGTTTGGAAACGGACACGGCCTAATCCGAGATCTAAATAGCCAGGATAACAAGATTGCAGTTTGTCATTTGTTTTAGGGGGGAAAAAAGCAGCTCTCAGTCCTGATTGTTCAGCCTGTGAACATTCTAAAAATTAAAGTTCCACTTAGAACAAAAAAACAGGCTGATGTCACAAAAGTAGAACCTTCCACAAGTTCCACAGAGAACTTAAAAACAAAAAAAACATCAGCTCTGGTGATTTAAACAACCAAGAAACCAAACACTGATCTGAAGAACCTATAAAGCAAACACTTTTTTTGATCTACAAACCACACATTAGCCAAACCTATTTTTACGAGGGCACTCTCAACGACACATAAATACACAGACGGTTCTTATATAGGCTAAATAAATGTGAACGTAAGTGTGAAAAACAACAAACATAGTTAGGAAAACCCCATTCTACTTTTATAAGCTGCTAATGTTTTTATATCGGGGGAATTTCGGCATTTTATCCAAAGGCCCTCATTGGTTAGATAAAAAAAAAAAACAGACAGATGGTGTAAACCAACGCCCTACAAACCTGATGAGAACAGACCTTTAGAACATATATTAAAGTCATGTTTCATTTATGACATTCTGCTCTAGATAGGGATCACATCCTATCGTCAAAATGAAAGTCTAAGGGATTTTTTGCCAGTTTGAAGATCTATTGAATTGCTTAATAGCAAACGAGCAAGGTCTGCAGGTTTGAAATGAACATACCTGTGCACTAACCAACACACCTCGCTTTTTAAAAAGAAAATCTCTCTGTCTCATTCCTTCCCTCAGACTGAATCCAGCTTTGCATTTGAATCTGAAACCGATCTGAATGTGACAAAAGGACAGTTTGAATAATAAGAAAAAGAAAAGGCCTCACGCTGGAGACAGAAACTCTCTTCCATCAGCGTTCCCTTTCAGAGACGCTCAGCGAGAGAACGGTGGAGTTCGTGTCGAATGCAGCTGTCATCGCGACTGTATCGCACCGACACAAAAGCACATTCATGCCCGTCCTTTATTCCGCTGAGCTTTATTCATCCATATACTTCCAGCGAGGCAAAGGAATCCAGCTCTCATCAAAAATTAATATTACCGTATGAAAGGGAGAAAAGGGCAATGCTTTCTTTTGAAACTGGCGTGCCATTTACGGTAATTACACCACTTCTCGTTGATCAACTGTTTAAAGGAGTCGTTCACTTTAAAAAAAACTTTTGCTGATAATTTACTCACCCCCATGTCATCCAAGATGTCCACGTCTTTCTTTCTTCAGTTGAAAAGAAATTAAGGTTTTTGATGAAAACATTACAGGATTTTCTCCATATAATGGACTTCAATGGGAACCAAACGGTTCAAGGTCCAAATGAGTTTCGGCGCAGCTTCAAAGGGCTTTAAATGACACCAGACGATGAATAAGGGTCTTATCTAACGAAACGATCGCTCATTTAAAAAATAAATAAAAAAGTTTAAGTTTTATAAGCACAAACGCTCGCCTTGCTCTGTTCTGATGAGCGTTCGTGACTCTCCTTTTCGAACTCGATCATCAAAATGAACAAATCTTTTTTCGAGTCATTTGGTTGATTCAACGAACAGAATGACTCGAAAAAAGTTTCGTTCATTTTGAAGGAGAGTCACAAAAGATCACAGAACAGAGCAAGGCGAGCATTTGAGCTTATAAAACGTATCATTTTTATTTATTTTTGAAATGAGCGATCATTTCGCTTGAAAAGACCCTTATTCATCGTCTGGTGTCGTTTAAAGCCCTTTGAACAGTTTGAAGCTGCACTGAAACTCTCTTTTGGACCTTGAACCGTTTGGTCCCCAATGAAGTCAATTATATAGAGAGAAATCCTGGAATGTTTTCATCAAAAACCTTAATTTCTTTTCGACTGAAGAAAGAAAGACGTGGACATCTTGGATGACATGGGGGCGAGTAAATTACCAGCAAAAGTTTTTTCAAAAGTGAACTACTCCTTTAAGGCTGTGAAGATGCAAATGGCTTTCACTGGAGAATCCTTTTATTTATTTTCTGGGATTTTGCTATTTTGTATTGGCAGACAGATGGGAAGAAGACAAACTGGAATCGAACCCGTGTGCTGCACGCTATTTTTATTTTTTTTTAGAACACTGTTGTCACATGACATGACGTTTAATGAGGCCTTTGGGCAAATCACAAGTCAGATTTTCTTTTAAAAGAATCGAGGGCAGGATTTCTCTCTGGTCTTATGCAAACGCATTAAATTAGCAGAACCTCTCGTGTAACTCCCCTCCTCCCTCTCGAAAGCCATTAATTCTTCCGCACAGCGCCCGTCGACAACTACTTCCCGCACTACACCGCTAATGTGAAGGAGAATTTGTGACTTCCCCCGCTTAATGGATTTAGCCAAGTCAATAACAGGGGAATTATGACGAGGCAGTCCGAGGGCGCGGAAAAGGCAGGGGACACCGTGTTGTTACGGGGCAGCAGAGGGGATTCGGCATGGGTCATGTTTACAGAGAGCATGCTGATCCCTCCGAGCTCATTAGAACGGGCCTGATCGCCCAATTCATTCATGGAATTCTCTCGCTGCGTAACCTCGATTATAAATGTTAGGCTAGGTTTTTATATGTAAAAAAAAATTATGGTAATATTTTATTTTATTTATTTCGAGCAATATGTAGTTACATATGATATGGCAATAAGAAGCTCTGTACATACTTTAATCTTACAAAAACTTTAATCTATTGCTTAAGGCTTGATTTCTTTCATGGAATCTACCTGAATAAATCATGTAAAATCCCCTTAATTATTCGGTCTATGATACAATGAATTTAATATTTTTTAGTTGACGCTCAAAAGTGTCTGAATTCGTGTGAATGGAAATAACCTGTTTATATTTGACTGAGTTATATTGTATTATTAGCAGAGCACATAACCAAACTTGTTACTGCACTAGCATTATAACAAGACTTCACAACCTTACTATAAGCCCTACTCTTCTGCACAATGGTAACCATCAAACTTCAACATATAGAAACTCTTTCAAATGTCAGACTGAACATTAAACATTAGCAGATGGTTCCTTTTTACTCAAAAACACATAAAACAACACTTCATTTCAATATTTCCTCTGCATTACCGGCCATGTGCAAAGCATGCTGGGAACTAGCAATGGTGTCTCAAAATGAAACCGCATAATTGAGCTAATTCCCTTAAAATAAATTGGTAGCCCTTTTCCCTTAATTTTATCAGCTTAATCGGCTCCTCAATTGTGTATGTTTCCTTAAAAAAATTGGAAAACGTATCTCTTGGTTTAATTAGTGAAATGTTCTCAATATTTTCTTAATAAAATATACACAATATTTTTAACTATCACCTCCATCTTTTTAATGAAAATTACAAGACCCAAGATTAATTTTTTACAGTGTAACAGTGTAAAAAAAATATTTTCATGATTTGTAATCACAAAATTCTTTGTTTTGTCAAATCAACTTAAATAATTTATGTAGTTCAGATAACATAATATTTTGAGTTTCTGAAGATTAAATCAATCTCCTTCATTGTATTAACTCATTTTTTTCCATTTCAATGAACTTAAAATTAAGGCAACCAGGTTACTTCATTTTTTTAACTTAAACCAACACTATTTTTTTTACAGTGTAGGCAAGGAATCTGATTGGTTTACAAACTGTTAAATGGTAGCCTTCACATTTCCAAAAGGAATTATGCGCTCAGATAAGGACTAGTGTATAGAGTATTGACTGATCTTAGTTAGTGGTTTAGCCGGCTGGTTGTAGAAGAGTTTTAATCAGTACTTTAACTGGTCAGACTGGGAGAATACAGCTGACCAACCAGCAAAAACCAGTGATAGTCTGTGATATTGTGCTCTCCAAATTTGACTCGGGTTCCTTTTACAATGCAAGTCTATTGGGATGTTTTTCGTTTGATCAACTGCCAGGTTAAAAACATACAATCACTCATTTGTTTATACAGTAACAGCTCACCTTTCCTAAAAAAACAAAACAAAAAAACAGGGTTTTATAGCAAAGTTTATTAAACCCAAGTATGAGTAATAGTATTAGTCATGTTATGGTGTCAATAGCACAGCACACTAATCATATGACTTCCTGCATGGGTGTGTGTGTGTGTGTGCCTCGGGAGACAGTTGACAGGTGTTTCTCTGTCTGTTTGTGAATAACAGAGTCCCTCTGGCTGGTTCATCTGAAGTTTAGACTGTACTTCCTGTCACTATCACATCCTCATAACATCAACACCTTCATACAGACCTGGTATCTACTTCCCGAGTCTCACCTGACACGGTTCTAGATAAAAACGCTCCAACAGCTGTTCATTTAAAGTATGACATTGTGGTTTTGTTCTTCTTAATTGACTAGAGAAACATTTGACAAAAAAAAAAAGTACAACTGTGATGACGCTCTTTCCACTAAAGTGAATTGCAAAGCGTAAATGAAAAATTCACAACACGCAATTTCTGCAGTAAAATGAGATCACCTGACCAGCAAATTAACATTTTATATACACTCATATGTATGGAAGCTTGTTTCTGCCACAGACTGAAAAATAAAAAAGGTAATTGCGACTTTTTATCTCACAATTCTGACTTAATTTCTCACAATTGCGAGATGTAAAGTCAGAATTGCGAAATATAAAGTCGCAATTGCGTGTTATAAAGTCAGAAATGCATGATATAAAGTCAGAATTGTGAGATATAAACTATTCTATCCTTAAAATTGGCCTGATTACTCGCAATTGCGAGTTTATTTCTCAATTCTGAGAAAAGATGTCAGAATTGCGAGATGTAAACTCTCAATTGAGAGAAAAAAAGTCCGAATTGTGAGATAAAAAGTTGCACTTCTGTCTTTTTTTCTCAGAATTCTGACTTTATATCACGCAATTCTGACTTTATATCTCGCAATTCTGACTTTATATCTCGCAATTCTGACTTTATATCTCGCAATTCTGACTTTATATTTCGCAATTCTTACTTTATATCTCGCAATTCTGACTTTATATCTCGCAATTCTGACTTTATATCTCGCAATTCTGACTTTATATTTCGCAATTCTGACTTTATATCTCGCAATTCTTACTTTATATCTCGCAATTTTGACTTTATATCTCGCAACTCTGACTTTATATCTCGCAGTTCTGACTTTATATCTCGCAGTTCTGACTTTATAACTCGCAATTCTGACTTTATATCTCGCAGTTCTGACTTTATATCTCGCAGTTCTGACTTTATATCTCGCAGTTCTGACTTTATATCTCGCAGTTCTGACTTTATATCTCGCAATTGCGACTTTATTTCTTACAATTCTGACTAGTTTATATCTCGCAATTGTGAGATAAAAAGTCGCAATTATTTTTTTACATTTTTTTTATTCAGTGGCGGATTTATTCAGTGCACCAATGCATATTTTATTTAAATCCACTGAAAAAATTGCACTAATCCTAGTCTTAAAAGTGTAGGATCTATCTGAATTAGGATGGAGCCGGAAAACACAAAATCTGTGGCAGGAGATTCCAGGAATTGTGAGAATATCATTTGATTTCCGTTGACTCTTTTCGCCACACAGCAGCATGTGTGTGAGAGTGTGTATGTCAGGCTGCCTGGCGCTTCAGAGTGTCAGCCAAAGCAACATGACGACTTACAGACCGTTGGAATGGCAGCATGTGTGTGTGTGTGTGTGTTTACGAGTTGTTTTCTGTGTTTCCCCGTTCCGATTAGAGCCTGGCTGGAGGCAGCATTATGTAATCCGACACGGCAAAACACACCCGGTGAGACGAGCGAAACGGAGAATCTACAAATAACAATTATCCATCTCTCCCTTCATGTTCACCTCTTCCGCAATGCACCTAATTGCACATCATTTTTCAATACCTCCACACTTCGCTCTCTCTCTCTGTCTCACCTTTTCTCTCTATACCTTCAATCTACTGTATTACATGCAAAGCTTACAATGACTAGTTAAACAAGAGGGTTTGAAAAAATGCAATAAAGAAAATACCAATTAGTCTCAGTGAGTGTATAGTGACGCAACACTCAACGACAGGGACATTTCATTTCCATTTGTTAGGACATGTAGTCATTCTGTTGAGTCCTGCTGCATAAAACAAATATTACTTGACTAACTTGATTCATGAGCTCCCTGATCCATGCAGAACCTCAGTCATGACTCCTCAAAGTTATCATGAGTCTTTAATAACAAACATAAAATACAGAGCATGTAGAGTGTTGTTCTGGCACTGGTCAGTATTAACCCTTTAACTGACTTCTCAACCAAACGGTTGAGCACATTTTGAGTCACTAAATTTTATTGAGAGGAGTACCTAACTTAACTCAAACTGATTGAGCCATCTATCATCTGGTTGAGGTATGTTATGCCAAAAACAAATCTACTAGATTTCACAATCACTTGTCACAACATGGATGTCAGAAACAAATAAATCATCCCAGGCATGTGAACTGTTTTTTGGTGAAATTTTGCAAGCAAAGCATTTTTTTTTTTTTTTTTTTTGCTATGAAAAAACTTAAGTATATTTTTTAATAATTTTTCAAAAACATGCTCAACCAAATGGTTAAAATGGCACATAACGATTAATTGTCACCCCCCCTTTTTGAGAATGGACATTACAATGCACTATTAAAACTTGGTTGTAATTCAAGTATGCTTTAGAATAAAGACCTAAGTTTAGTCTTGTTTTAACAAAAACACTGCTGATTATGGCTGAAGTAAAAGCACTTAAAAAAATGTGTGAAAAAGTTATGAAAATTTTAAATTTACATTAAATCAAATATATTGTACTAAATATTTTTTATATATATATAAAAAATGTTTATTTTACATAATATTTTTTCCTAGAAAATTACTATAAAATCAAAGCCATTTATCTAACCAAGTTGTGTTCCAAATTTGAAGTTCTAATGAGATTTTGTGAAGGCGTAATACCAAAAAATTTAATTGTATGCATTCTGCTGTAACAAATTAATACATTTCTGTCCAAATATCACTTCTGTTACAAAATATGGACCCTTTCTGACAATGTGTTTTGTCAAGACTAGAAAAGGTTTTGATCATAATATGATGGGCAATGAAAAAGTATGGCAAAGTATGTGTATGAATTCCGGTACCATTTATCACCATTAAGTGACATCTCAACCATTTGGTAGAGGCTGATATTAAAAAAATTATGGGATGTGTTGAAAAAAAAATACACTGATTGTGGATACTAGTGACATAAGAAGATAAGAAATGCAAAAAAAATAAATAAATAAATAAATTAAAAAATCCATCACTTTTTTTCTTGGTGCGGACTTCAATGGGTTAAAGTCGGCTGCCCTATTAAGACTATTAACCATTAGAGAAGACAGGAGAAACTCATGACCTTGCTGCACTAATCAACCGTAAGCTAACCTGCGGTAATCCTGACATGATGACTGACAAACACAAGAAAAACAGAATTACACAAGTGAAAAATGAAATATATATACACACACAGACACACGAGATCTGATAAATCAAAAACTTAAATACTTCAAAGAGAGACGTAAAGCTAAACAAATGTGCAGCACTATCACATGCTGGCCAATTACATAACATTTAGAAATCTAAAAATAAATAAATGTCAAACTGGTCAAATCATGCTACAATTTCAAAAAGGCAAATGCATGCAACAGATCATGCATGAACAAATAAAAAAAGCTCACCAATCATGCAACACTTTCATAAAATGCACTATATAAAGCTGACAAAAAGCCAGTTGTGCAACACTGACAGTAAAGCCAATTAGGCTGACCAATATATATATATACTGTATTTTGTTGCATAATATGTATTCATATATACACACACACACACACACACATATATATATATATATATATATATATATATATAAATATATACATATTGCAACTAAATACAGTTGTTACTGGCCAATCAGGCAACAATCAAAGAATAAAAACATGAAGCTAACCTATCAAGCAATTTATTAAAATAAATATATATATACACACACACACTTTTTTTTTTAAATAGAACACAAATCTGGCCAATTGCACACTCACATAAATATTAAACATGTATAGTAATATCATAAAGCTGACAAATTAGGCATTTTTTTATTATTATTATTATTATCAACAGGCCTAGTTATGAAACCATTTTTAAAAACTACAATTGTAATATTGGCCTATTGGGCAAAAAAAATTTAAAAGAAAACATTAAGCTGACCAATCAAGCCACAATTGTACACAAACAAACACACAAATGCAAAACTGCTAATAAAATCCATATATATAAAGCTGACCAATCATGCAACACTCCAACAAACACAAATTTTAAGCTGGCCAATCATGTAACACTGAATAAATACATAATAAATGACAATACTGTGAGAAATGCGAGACAATCATGCAAGACGGACGGACAGCCAATCTTTCAAAACAAGTCTAGACTAGCAAAGAAGTCAACATGCGAAAGGAGGCAAACATGTTGTGATACTCCTTCACACACAGTACCTGAGCAGTGTTGATGGCAGAGCTGCTTCAGTGAAAGTGTGTCTGTGTCAGGACGAGCCGGATTTCCCTGAACCGCTGGGGAACACCTGGACCTCCCCAAAGAGTGTGTCCTCTCTCTCAAACACACTCCGACCACAAAACCACCTCCGACCACAACAGACAGCGGACAGACCTCGCCTAGAAACTCTCTTTCGCTTTCGACTGCAAAGCCGGCTGGGTGTTGATAGATAGCTCACTCTCTTACTCGCTCGCTCGCTCGCTCATGTGAAAGCTACCGTTCACCAACCCTCTCTCGTTCCCTCCTTCCCTGTATCTCGGTGTCTCCTCCTCTCCTCTGCTCTTTTTTTCCCCAACTACTTTTTTAATCCCTGCGCTAAATCACTGGGAAAGCCCTGACTACCGCCACGCTGACTTCCTCTCTCAGCGAATAAAGAGAGAGAGACACAAAGCAGGACTGAAGGTCTATAAAAAGCTGGCTGCCTAATTCCTTCGGCTGAACGCTTCGAGCCACACACACACACACACACACACACACACAGCGGTGGAAGCTGAGAGTTTGTCAGCATCAGATTAGCTTCTAACCCACTTATGGAGAGTCGCCGCCCACGGTACCGCCACACACTCCTATTAATACACGAGTCGGGCCCACACACTCCACACGGTCGCCCACGCAAGAACATAGACAAACAGAGCCCAACAGATGCTCACACACACACACACAGATCTGCCAGGCCAGTTACAGTATCTAATCAGCCCATGTTTTCTGATTTACACTCAGATTTCCACTACAGAATTTTGATATTGGTAAACAACAGATGATCCTTACAACATTTGGATATCATTTTGAGGCTATTCATTTTTTCTGTTATCATCTGATGACATCCAGCATTTTTATATTAAACAACAAACAACTGGCTAGCATTTTGAAATTTATATTATAGTACAACACTTTTAGATTATCAACATCGACTGATAACGAAATAAATTTAGATCAAGATTTACAATATATTGTGATATTGAAATGCCACATGCTGCTAATGGATACATATCATATTTTTAGATTACCAACGTTGGAAAATAATAAAAAAAATAAGCAGAATGTACATTTTGAGGCTGATTATTCAGTTGTCATGTGATGTCAGTAATCACATTTTGATATTATCGATGAATAACATCGGCCGATAACCAAATAATCAGATGATATTGCGTGATTTAAAATGATTTAGACTGCATTACGATATCGAGATCACTATGTTATCACAAATTTTAGAGGCCGTTAACAGATTAGCCAATTGGTAGCACTTTACAATAAGGTTCATTAGTTAACATTAACAAAGAATGAACAATACTTCTTCAGCATTTGTTAATCTTTGTTAATGTTAATTTCAACATTTACTAATACTTTTTAAAAATCTTAGTTAACGCACTCTGAATTAACATGAACAACAATGAACAGCTAGATTTGTATTAACTAACGTTAACAAAGAATAACAAATACAGTAACAAATGGTTAGTTCATGTTAGTTAATACATTAACTAATGTTTAATAAATGAACCTTATTGTAAAGTGTTACCAGCCAATTATTTGCCATTTAGCCGACATCAGTAACCACAAAACACTGAGATATACATTCAGATGTACATGATGACATTTGATATGATCAACAAAGGCTGTTTAACCAATAATTGGCTGAATGCGTTCATATTTACATAATGTTTTTAGATCATCAACATCAGCCAATAACCGAATAATCAGATATTCTGACATGAAGATTACGATATTGAGTTTATGATAGTGAAATGATGATGAATGATGATCAAACAATATTTTAAGACTACCAACATATTTATCATTCAGCTTATAGTAACCACAAAACTTTTAATATACATAATGTAAAACAAGCCTAAGTGTACTGCTTATGACTTATTTGCCAATATTACAAGATATTTTATGGGGGGGGGGGGGGGGGGGGTTGCAAGAAATCAACTTTGGGTAATGCGAAATTTATAGCATCGATTTCGTGTGAAGCAACACAACACACAAGAACACACACACACACACACACGCACCTCTATATAGGTGAAACACAACTAAAAGTAACGAGGAAAACATGACCAGTCACGATCATGACATGCTCCTCTCATCAGCTGTGGTAAACCCTGCCCACACACACATTAAATGCTAACACACCGGAAGGCGTGCGCACACACACACTTACCTATACACAGCTGTGTGTGACTCTCTGGTTAACACCTGCTAGAGCTTCGTGTTATGGGTGGATGAGCTCTGTTCTCACACTCGTACAGACACACACATGGATATGGAGTTAGTCACTATACACCTAGACTTACACACACTTATAGACCTCAGGCACAGTTTAGTCAGAGCCCAGCGGTTCTCACGCTCACACACACTTTCACAACCTTATTCCTATAAACAAGCCCTCACACATTCACAAACAGACCCATATAAACTAAAAACCTACTGACTAGAATAATCCAAAACAAAGCTAATGTTTGGAACAGTAGGCCACCATAAACTTAAAAATAAAGGTTCCTTTTTGACATATATGGTTCCGTGAAGAACCTTTGACATCCATGGAACCTTTAAGGTTCTTTGTATTGGAAAAAGGTACTTTGGATTTTTCAAATGTTCTTCAAACTAAGAAAAACTAGTCTGTTAAGAACTTTTCATTGAAAGGTTCTTCGGGGAACCAAGAATGGTTCTTGAACGGTGTCGCTGGGAAACCCCCTTTTTGGAACCTTGATTTTTAAGAGTTTACTACTAATATCTGAAGTATGCACTAAGTATTGTACACATTTTCGGTGTGCATCGAACACCTATGCCGTATACTATAGAACAAACTGTGCTGAATACCCATAATGCAATGGATTATTCAATTTCCTGGTGCACCGATGAAACAGAAGTAATATTAACCATTTTTCTTTCTCATTAGACTGACATATTTACACAAAATGGATCTGAAATGCAAAATAGTCCTTTTAATGCTAGTTCTGAGATGACAAATGGGCGACTGAATTAAAAATGCTTAATGATGAGGTCATGTGACACCAGTGTCGCATACTAACGTTTACCTTTGCACACTTCTTTATACTCTACCATTCAATTCAGTTTGTTGATTTAAAAAAAAAAATGTTATTAAAAAGTCTCTTCTGCTCACCAATGCTGCATTTATTTGATATTTTTATGAAATATTATTACAATTAAAAATAATTTGCTATTTGAAAATATTTTAAAATATAATTTATTCCTGTGATTTTCAGCATCATTACTCCAGTCTTCAGTGTCACATGACCCTTCAGAAATCTGATTATTATTAATACTGAAAACAGTTGCGCTGCTTCATATTTTTGTGAAACTTCTTTTTGTAGTCTTTTGCAACATTGGAAATATCTTCACGGTCACTTTTAATTCATTTAATGCATCCTTGCTGAATAAAAGGATTCATTTCTTTCCCAAATTATGAACGGTAGAAAAATAAACAGGATGTAGTGTATAATCTATATAGTGTGCAGTCGTAGTTCCTTCATGCCGTCAGAAGTGTTTGGGTTCTCCAGACAGGAAATGCATGGTTTCCAAATAATTTGTTTCTAATTTTTGTTTTTATGAAAGGAAGAGAGGAGGGACGACTCAGAGGAGATTCACTTCTCCAGAATTCCCATGGCAACAACAGCCGCTGAAGAAACAAGAGAATGAAGCTCCGGGCAAATGAGAACTCGCATGAACCGCAAACACATCTCCACCTCTTCCCCATTCATCCCTCTCTGCCAATCAACATCTGCCTTTCGCTTTTTTCTCTTTTTCGAACACCCATTCATCCCAGCTCACGGTTTTAACCCTTTCCTGCTCATAATCTCTCGCTTCACGCCTTCACGTGCCTCTTTAGCGGTCATTCAGAAATCAATGCTCTTTGGCGAGCGCGAGTTGTTCCCAAGCACACCCGGTCATTTTCTCTGCAGAAATCAATAGTCAGCATTCTTATACTTCACACACTCTTCGATTTAAATCCCACGCCTCTCAAATCTTTCAGTTCACACCCTTTTCATCGTAATATAATTATGATGCCATCACACAATCTCATCTTCAGACTTTCAATAGGTATTTATCAGTGTGTATAAAAGTAATATCAGAGTCCCTACACTGTTCATTTCCTGGATAATAGAGTCCCAATCTACTTATCTTTTCATGTAATATCCATAACTCAAATTAGTTAGGAATGGCAATTTATATTGACTTCCACACAGGGTTATTATCTACAAACTTCAATGTAAAAAATATTTTCACACTTTTTCTTTTGTCAAATCAACTTAATATCAGATAACATAATATTTTTAAGTTTCTGATGATTAAATCAATCTCCTACATTGTATTAACTCAATTTTTCCATTTCAATGAACTTAAAATTGAGGCAACCTGGTTACTTAGTTTTTTTAGTTAAACCAATAGTGTAATATAACGTTTTTTTTAATTGAAATAAAGCTGAAAAAAAAATATGATCAAGGCATGACATGAAGATACTTAAATATTAGATTTGATTGAAAAATTAGAAGTGAAATAAGCTGAAGCACTAAAATTTATTAACTGGATATAAAAATAAAAAGAGACATCTAAATACTACTATTTAGAAAATAAAGACAAAAGCACATCATAAAACGACTAAAAGTTAAATTAAATAATAGTTAATAATTTAAATATAAAATATAATATAAAATATAAAAAACAAACTATGAGAGCATTTAAATAATACTGAAATAACCCTGCTTTAAAAGATTGTCTCGGTTTAACGTCTTAATAATAATAATATTTATAATTATAATAACAACAACAGTAATATTTATTTTCTGAAGACATAGCCACAGCTGGGTGGGATGGGGAAATTTAATTTTAACCAATAACATCAGAACATATTGAAGACAAAATTTGGTAAAATAAATAAAAAAGGTAGGCTAATTGCGAATTTTCATCCCACAATTGTTTTATCTCGCAAATCTTCATAAATTAATTATATAGGCTAAACTTGCAATTCTGAGAAAAAAAGTCAGATTTGTGAGATAAAAAGTCAATTA